TTTTCTGTTCGCCGAATAATTAGCAACAAACCTATTGCGCTACACTGTTCTTAGCCGAGCTGCTTATTAACGAGTCTAATATTAATTAAAAACCATCCGACCGAGAATGTTACAACGAGCTCTTGACCTGGAAATCGATAATCAACTATGGTCGAAACGATTTCTTCGCTAAATAAATATAATATTTTTTTATGAAGAAGCATCAATCGATAAAAAAATGATGCAAAGTTTTTAAGTTATTCACATCTCGACAAGGCAAGCTGGTCTTTTCTAAATTCCAGTTTTTATCATCGTTACTCATTTATATTGTGACAATGATAAGTTACATGAAAAATTCAACAGAAAACTGTATAGATCTGTATCAAATATAACAGAGTATTATATTGCGAATAATGAAATCGAATACGATCATGTCTCGCACCTAGTAAACAATAGATTAGAAGCTAGGAAGTAGTTAGGAATGTAATAGCAGTAAACACGAGGGTGCATCGGTATACATAATTACAGTCTCGTACAAGGGAGCGCTCGATATCAGCCTGATATCGGTTTCCGAGATCGCAGCCTATACGTCCTCCTCGCGTCTCCCCTTTTCTGCGTCCACACACGTCTCACTTTCCTTCTTTCTTCCGCTATTCTCTCCTACCGTCGACGAGGTTTCGTCGTGGAAAGTAGAAACGGATTTCCCGTTTCGCTAAGAATCCTTTTCCTAAATTAATGTTATCCCTGGGCAAAATTTGCAATTTTCTATCGCACGCAATGCATTACAGCGTGTAATTTTCGTTCGTGCGTTGAACGAGATTATAAACGCTTTCGCGCATCTCCTCGCACGAGTTTCGTTCGATACCAGCGCACCTGCTGTTTAAGCGTTCCACGCTTTAGTACAGTTGCAACAGAGAGGTGACCGAAGTGATCGCTCACCCTTTATTTGAGCTTGAAAAATTTAATTGCGGCCTATTTAACGCGGTGTAACGCGCGGTTGCCGATGCCCACGTACGTGGTACGTACCTACCCCGGTTCGTGAAAAAATTCGTTCGATACGCGACTTACTCGTAATTACACGCACAGAAGTTCTCGGTGGTTACGTGATTATTGCTCGTCGAAATTATTACTTTGTCGAAGTGGTATGTACGATCGGTTACAATAATGCCCGCGCGGGACACCGTACGTACGTCTTTCGCGTGTATTACGTGCACCCGAGCAGATCGCATGACCGACGCCACGGAATTTCGAGGTTCGTTCGCTCAGCTAACTCGCGTTATTATACCGTCGTTATCCGGTTATACTTTGTTATTACCCGGCCGTGTTTATCCGGCAGATTCGGTGGTAGCATGAGGCATGAGGCTGTGCCCGGTTGCCCGATGATTGACGGAATCGGCAATTACGGCACGGATTCTCGCACGTACTTACCTACCGGGCACACCACCACCACTAGCATCTTCCTCGGTACACAGAGGTTACACGCACGTTGTTGCGGAAACCGGTTGGCCGCTCTTTAAAGATGCACGTGTCCCCATCGGGACACTGTGGAACCGGGACTCGGGGATGTATTGGCGCGAATTCGGGCCGGGTTGCTTCTCTTTTTCACGATTTCTCGAGAGGACCTTCCATCCGCCTCGGTCCCCGCCGCAAACGACGAGCAACGGGCTCCGATCCGACAGGAATGTCGTTTCTGAGAAAAACGATCGATATGTATATCGCGTAGATTGAATTTCATTCGGGGCGAGCTCTCGCCGATTCAGTCCGATTTTTATATTTTCGCGCGTCCGACTATTCGCCACGATCACATTTTTCTCGACGCACTGCACGGAGTTCTAAACCGAGTCTTTCATTAAAATCGTGATTTCTTGTGAAACTATTCTACCATTATCAAATCACGTTTTCTCACCAAGGCCTGATCTCTCCGTAAGATAGAAATGTGCACGAATTTCAGAAAGAGAGCGGCAACGTGGGGAAGGGAGTCTCGTTTGTCTTTCAGTGAATCGAATAAAATCGAACGAGGCAAGATTTTCGGGCACGATCTTTTTCGACGAGGCGCGGTATGCCTCGTAAAAATTCGAGTTGGAAGATACGGGACGCGTTTCGGCGTGCCGCGTAAAAATACCAACCGGGGGCCCCGTCACTCGTACGGTTAACGTTCACGCCTTCTTAACGTCGAGTTACAGCCACTTTAACCGAGTCTTTAGAGGGCTTCAAATAGATCTCGTCGGTTCCCGACGCAGCCGCATCCCTTCCCATCAAGACATTTTTAAAGCCAACAGCTCGCACGAAACCGCTCCCTGGCATTCCGTGGCGCCCTTTAGCCCACGGATGGTAATTAACGTTAAATTGTTGCCGTCATTACTATGCGATATTTCACTGACGTCTCGTTACTCATGGGACACGCACGGAAAAATCACGGTCCCACGTACGTGCATCTACACTTTCAAATCTCACAGGCTCTTCAGCTCTCTCTACACGTTTTCATTATTGCAACTTTGTTTATGCATACCTGCTCGTTAGACGTCGTATAAAAATCCGATCTGTTCCACTTTCTCTGAGTGAAGAACAAAGAAGAGATATGTTACTATATAGTAAATTGTTGTTTCGACTGCGAGTACTCAATAGATTCTAAACGGCAATACATAATAAGTTGCGAGATACAGAGAAGCGTGAAACTTGTTTGGAACTCGTATGCTTATCGAGTAAACGAGCAATTTAAGATAAAAACAATATTCTATGGGACGCGTGCGGAGACGGCAGATAACGGTGCTCGAAATCCGATTAACTCCTATCCGCGACAAGTAGAGACAAATTGCGATCGCGTCACTGCGTTCGATTCGGTGTTTCGGTGCAGAAAATAAGGAGAAGGGAAAAAAGCGACGGTAACAGTTGATTTGTCGCGAAAAAGAAGGGAGACTGTAAATGCTGTTGTCGTACAGGATCTCGTGTGACGTGGGGAAGAAGGGGGAGGGTCGAAGAGGACTCCATCGTTCCCTGTGTACTCGAGATTTCAGCGACGAGAAAAAGACATATGGTGGAAGGATCCGCTCGACATAGGAAGAGGTCCGAGACGGAAGGGGAGGCTCTTGTCCATTCGTATCTTCGGCTCCGCCATCTTTTTCCCATGCAAATTTTCTGCGCGTATTGAGCTTCTATCATGTTCTATCCTAACTTTGGATAGCATTCAAAATTTCGTTTTCTCAGATATTTGTGACTTAACATTGTATATGAAAACTAAATCTGCAGATTATTTATTGACTGTCTTATTTCAAGCGACAAATTGTCAAGTTTCTCTGGCTATGATTTAACGCAGGTTGAACATGTGTAATGCTTCTGCACCTGTAAATCCTGTCCGCAATGGACACTGTCTACGATTAGGCTTGCCTCGGTTCCAATTGTAGTAACGCGGATTTCTCACGTCTCGTGACACGAAACGTCGATAAAGGGAGTTACAAGCTCAACGCGCCCGGACGTAGGTTTGGCCACTGTACATATGCACAGCAAGTGTCAACGCGAACGAAATTCTTGGAAACTATTACCGTTACTTCGATTGTTGGGAGAAAGTTCGAAGGAGCCGGCCGAGTTTCTTTCATCGGTCCCCACCCCCGCGATATTGAAACAAGGCTTCCGCAATGAGTTATCGCCCTGATCGATCGCCCCGATAATTCGTCGTACGAAATTATGATTTAAATAATGCACTACGTAGGCATTTACTTCCGGTGGGTCGGGTCCGTGGTTAAACTTAACGCGGACTCGTTATAGCCTCGTAAAATTAGCGATGTTTTCTCTCATGAAACAATCGTTAGTTAATGAAACGTGGATCATCGATCGATCATCGAGCTCGGACTTCCAATCGCGTAGGCTTATCCGCCGTATCGAACACGGTATCGTCGGGTACGTTGTAAATTCGCGGCCACCGGGTATGGGGAGCACTTACTCGGAAATTACACGTTCGTACCGGTAAATTATTCCTCATCATCGGACGTCGAAAGAAGCGGCTACCCGTTCTCTTTACACCTGCGTCACGCACCGCTACTTCCACGCACATCGGATCATCGATAAACCGTATTTAACCGTTTTCCACGAACCATCTCCAGCTCGCGCTGCTACATAATACCTGTATCCGTACCAGAATCGACTCCAATTAAAAGCGTATACTGTAATCACGTTGCCAGCCGTAATCGGCCGTTTCTCTCTCCTCTGAATTTTATTTCTCAATCAATCGATGGATGGTGAAAGCTCGATACGACCGGCGAAGCCTCGTGTCCGTCGCGAATTCGTTCCACCCTTCGTTGGGGTTGATTTGCGAGCGTCACCGAGTCCCGTTCGACGAGCGGAGAGTGGCTCGAAGGTGGCGCGGTTAGAAGGCGGTAGGAATGGTAGAGGAAAAATAGGGACGTATCAGGACTGTTCCAGGATTCCTGTAGGGTTTTCGCGGCGGTGCGGTGGTTGCTGCCGCGGGGGTGAAACCAGGCTTTTAAAAGGTTCCGATGGGAAACCCAGCAGGGCGTGAATGGCTCCAGACGCGTTGGAGGAGCCGGAACGTCTCGTGAGAGAGGAATCGGTGGGAAGAGCGAGATGGCGAGAGAGAAGGAGCGGTCGAGGGTGAAATGAGGAGGGAAGAAAAGCGGGGACAGGTGAAGGAGAGAAAGAGACGCGTGGAGGCGAGTGTTAGAACAGGATGCGTGCACGGGGACACGGACGCACGCTGGAACGCATGTGTTGCAGCCTCGAGGTGTGTTCCATCCGCTCCTCTTCCTCCTCCGTCACGGTTCTTTGTTCACGAAAGTTCGGTTTACCTCGTTCCCTTCCGAGGCCCGGGCCGACCGTCGTCTGTCCGGGTGTCTCCTTTTTTCTCGTCTATTTTTGCGCCAGCTTCGCTCCGAAAGCGCGAACGAGCCTCGGATACGACGAGGCGAGAGCAGGGACCGTTCTCGCCCGTGGAAATAGAGAGACACCGGTCACTGTTAAACGATTACTCGGAACGTGTGTTGGTTTAATTAAAGATTCGGTCACGGTGACACGATATAGGCAGAACTCACGTGTCCATTGAGGCTGGCCATGGTTCGTCTCTTTCCTTCCATTCTCCTCGTCGAGACCGAGGTGAGATTCTCCTCTCGCTCTCGCTGTTCGCGACGGCCTGTTCCCTCCGCGAAAGTTACGTGGTTGTTGATCAAAATAAATTAAAACTCGCATACAAATGGCGGTGAATCCGCAGGCCGAAAGCGACGATCTCGGGGCGGATCGTCCAATTTCACGGCGGGACGCTATTTAAGTATCGTCGACGATAAATTATCGAGCGAAATTTGTAGCCGCCGTCCACGCGAGGCGTCGAAATATCTTACGACTATTTAGCGCGACGTGGAATCCCGTTTTTCGTAAACACGTCCACGCGGCGAGAGATATTGGACGGCGTTTATAAAAAACGGTGCCGACGGGTTCTTCCTCCCTCGTCCGACGTACGTATATTCTTCTTGCCTACCTAATTTTCTCTCCCTCCGTTCGCTCGCTCTCGGACGGTGCGTCGCGCAGTGAAAACAAAGCGGAAAATCGTGCGCGTGAAAATAATGTTTTCGTTGATTCTATTTGTCACGTTTCCCGTGGGCGTCTCACGGCCCACGTCTCGATTTCGACACCCACTCTACGAATAGAAAGGTGCTTTTACGTGAGCGAGCCGTTTTTCAACTGCACGCTCGTCTCTTCCTTGTTTTCCGAGGAACCGGAATACACGTACGAGACGGAGAATCCCTTTTATCATCGGGACGATACTACGGATCCCCCCTCTCGCTGTTCCTCCTTTTCCGCCCTTTCGCTTCTCCGGAACGCTCGTTCTCTCGAAATAACTCCGCGCCCCTGCCGTATTAATTACCAGGATTCATTTCATCCTCATTTACCGCGAGCTAATTTACCGCGGAGAAGCCTCTGCGCGATATATGTACGTACGCAACCCTTTCCCTCGCGGCCGCTCTCTGCGAGTGGAAGAGAGGCCCACACAGTAGCAGACGCTGCCTTTGGGAAACGATTAATCGCGGAATCGCGCCACCGCGGCTCTCGCATGAAGCGCTCTATTCTCGAGGGTGAATAATATATGGAAGACGAGTGTTTTTAGAATCTACCCGGTGTACGAATAACAGGGGATTTATCTTTATCTGTTCGCTTTCATTGTTTGTAAAATATATGTATACGGTTTTAAAGGACAGTTATCTTTTGGAGGCAATTTCGCAGTATACATTATTTAGCTGTTGTTCGGGTAGATAATTCGTAAACTGTTGTTTTCATTGGTTGCCGATTATCTAACCGCACGTACCGTCTAGGGGATTGCATGATTTGTGTGCATTGATACCGTGGACGCGATGACATTCGCAAGGATACACTTAGGTGCCACGCAAAAACTAAGCATGCTTCACGAGGAGGCAATGAAAGGAGTTATTAACACAGGGACGAAGTTATGTAAAGCGGTTGTTCCCGCGATCCGTAATTAAGACCTATCGACGCAGCTATTTATTATCTCCGTGTCCGACGTTGAAAATTCACTTGAATGCTGAATTTGTTTACGCGCGTGCACATGTAATGCACGTGTTTCTTTCGTCCGCGCGTGCAACAGGTCGGCAGGATATCTATCGCGAACAAGGAGACATTTCCCGTTCGCCTGTTATTTGGATAGATCGTCGAAATTATTATTAGGTTTAATTAATCAGATACCGCAGCGCTTAGGTCGTTTTGCTTGCGTGATACCGATCTCGGACTCGTTTAGATCCTGGATTTAATGTAAATTACGAGCGCTTGTTCGATCGTATACATACACGGGAACGGCATTAATCGCCGGTTTTATTGGATCAAACGAAGTAGGCGAATCGATCATGTTATTGCTTTTCTCGTCTGGAATATGTATTCAATTAATGTATATAATATGCACATGCGAAACACGTCATAAACGTTAACAAAGTGCCACTCAACGGCGTATCGCGTTTGCATTTATTTACATTTTTACCTAACCGATAGATATCGTGCGGCGACATAATATGTATAATCCTTTGTTACACGTGTAACGTACAGGTCACTTTTCGTCCGGTTTGTACACCAATTACGGGTCGTAGAACATCAAACGCGACAAGATATTTCCTATCGTTAGTACGCGGCAATATCAGGTAAACGTTGGATACTTTTTGGTAAAATACGTGGTCGACAAAAGATGCATTTACTTAAATACCTACAATATTTCCTCTTGTGTGCTTTTTTTATCGTTTGTCAATAAGCTTTCGCGACTTTAAGAAATCTGTTCCATTCATTCCAAAGAACCGAGCAATCTTGATTTCGTATCGATTGCGCTCGAATCATTATACAAAATTACGTGACAATTATCGTTATTTGGGATCCCTGAACGTATAATTTCAGCCACGAAAGTGCCCCCCTCTCGGTCGATTTTTATAGCGAATCGTGACTCTTTTCGATCCTTTTTTCTACTCGCGATGCACCGCGGTTTACGATCCTTTCAAGCAGTTTAATTGTCGAATGTCATCTGTTGTTTTAATAACGAGAGGGAGAGAGAGATACCGACGATTCTCGGCCCATCCGCGATTATCGTCCATTAAAGTAACACGAAATTGCTATCGAGTTATCGAGCAGGCATTTATAATCGGATCCGCGGCGATAAGCGCGGTATCACCTGCTTTCGAAATTATCGTTATTATCGCCATTAGCCCTTTGGCACTAGAATTATTTTTTCACTCCTCATTTTTTTGAACTCTCTGTAATTTATTTCTTCGTACGGTTCGCTTTATTCGTGCGCTTTTGCATGCACGCCTCGATGCACTTACGTGCAATGGTAGTGGGCCGCGGATATCTGCTTATATCGTACGTTAAGTAAGCGTTGTCGATGGGAACGAGGCAAGGAGAGTAACGTACGAATCACGAAAACTTCAGTCACGGAAAAAACGTCGCGGAAAACGCGAATTAAATTTTACACAGTAGGTACACACTCACTGCGTTATTGACTATTAGTGTATAATGTGTTTACGTACAGCTTTACGATCAAATTCCTACACTCGAGCGCGATTATCTTTATATTTCGTCGGATCGTATCTGATAGTGCGTTTCGAAATTCGCCTTTCTCGATGTTAATTCAATTAAAATTTCCTATCTACCCGATTATCTTATTGCTTGGTGTTTCACCGGCACTCAACGTCTCGTCGATAAAATCTTATCTACGATTTTGTCAAATTCGTCGTCGACCTGTTGTTCCTCGAAACGATTGACGTGTTAAACAATGTTTGCTCGTCCGATCGTGATTTGTACGAAACAGAACTTTGGAATCTCGCTCGGAAAGAAATGCAGAGAGGAGATCGAAATCTTCGTCCGTAGTAATTGTTCCCGTACCCCCGTTTCGTTTACCTCGTTTCATTACGTATTTATGAGGTAAAGATCGCAATTTTACCTGCATATTCTTACGCAATGTTACCTGCATACGTTTATCGCGGATATGGATCTTACCCAGTAAGAACCATGCCATGAAGTAATGCGACTTTTACGCATAACATTATTCTCTACGTACGTTATAAAATTCCGATACCCGTACGTCTTTGGAAGAAATAGCGATGAAAACAGTGATAGAACAAATTTCTGGAATTCTCCTCTGCATCTGCAATCGCGAATGTTTATGCAAATGAATTTTATTTATGCGAGACGAATAATGAACGTAACTGAAAGAAATTTGTTTAGTCGTCGTTGCAACAAGATTGTGAAAAAAGCTATTATTTTCTTTTATTATTCTGTCCGGGACATTTTGTACATTGCCGAATTAAATTACTCGAACCCGTGCAATTTACATGGCTATATCGCTGTTAACTGATAATACAACATTCAGCATACTTCTGCACGCTAAAATGCATGTTTTGTACATTTACCTTATCGCGTTTTCACTTGTCTAAATTGAAAGGAAAGCAGGTTCCTCATTTAAATTCGAGCTCGTAAATTCCGAACTGTCACTAAATAAAATACTCACTGGTTGAGTCCAGAATATTTTACGATTCGCCCACGTTTTCCTTACTTACGATCTCACGGCGAAGTACGAATTATTTTTTAATCAGGGAAATAAAATGCGTATCGAGATTTTAATTCTAATGTGATTGAAATTGATACGTTGAAAGAAATACTAAAAAATTAAATGGTAGTTTAATCATTGCTTTCAGCTACTGGTGAGCGGTGGACAGCCAACGACGGCGACGTCGCCGGCGATGTCGTCGGGCGGTGCGCTCAGCCCCGGCGCTCTGTCGCCGTCGTCGACGGCGACGACGACCGGCGCCGCAGGGGCGGCCGCGTCCGGAGGAGCGAGCACTCCCGTGGCCGGCACCACGGGGCCAGGTTGCTGCGAGAACGGCAGACCCATGATGACGGACCCCGTCACTGGGCAAACGGTCTGCAGTTGTCAGTACGATAGCGCAGCTAGGCTCGCGTTAGGTGCATATCCGAGGCTAGCTCCCACCGCGACTTCCTACTCATCTTATCCGACGCCGACACCCTCCACCACCGACCAGGGGCCCTACCCTAGCATCGGAATGGACAGCTCCGCATTCTACCCCCCATTGGTGAGTATATTCCCCTACATTTCGTAAAGAAACTGTTCTAAGATCTTGCTCCAGTTATGTATCATTAACACGTTCCGTGCCACGTGTACCACCGGTGGTACACGGTAAACTTGATCGTCAGGCCACGTGTACCACCGGTGGTACACGCAGTCATATTTATTTAATGCGCTGAAAACATATATTTTATTACAAATATAATTCTGTAAACTATATTTCTACCTAAAAAATGAAGCATTATACAAGATGCAGTAAAGAACAAAACACATAAGTTTATTTAATTGTTATATATACAATAATTAATAATTACATTTAATGGTGCATCTTTAATCAAAATATCAAATGGCCTGAACGACAAGTCAGGCAAAAATGGCTTGGCACGGAACGTGTTAAAAAAGTTGTGGAACTTTTGAAAAAAATTTGGAAATAGTAATTAAAAATATTCTATATATGGTAGTTTAGTGTTAGAGCAGTTTCTCGTATTTTCGTGCATAGAAGCATGTAAGTTACTTGTTGGAAAACAATTATCGACTTTTGCGCAATGTTGGTTGAATTATTCATCGACAATCATGACCCTCTAACATACAGGAATATTTATAGTAAATGGGGGTGGAATTCATGAATTGTTATGTAATATCTTTTTTCTCCGCCCAGTAGATACCGAAGCTATTTTTACTTACAAAACAGCCCGAATATCGCGTAGTTACAAAATTCAATATTCCGTTCGCATTCCAAGCTCGAACGGAACAGACGATATATTACGCGAATCGTGCACCCTCGCAACTAATCGGAAGACTTACGAGCACGTATTTATAAGCATGATCATTAAACGGTTTATTAGCCGTCGTTTCGACGTAGAGACGGGAGCTGTCCCTGCAGTTCGCTTTGTAGCGTTTCGCACGCGTGAAATACGCGCTCGCGCTCCGAACGTACGGATTGATCGAGACACGTCGTGCAAAGCGTGCCGGACGATTATTACTCCCGTCGACCGAACTCGAGACGGATTAGCGCGCGGTCTTGCCGCGAATTAGCTTGGAATCCCGGTTGGGAGCCGGAAGAGAGAGAACTCCCTCGTCGCCTCTCCGTTTCCCAGGGATAGAAGCTGCTGAGAAATTCGTACGTCTGGCTGATCGCGTCTCTCCAACCGCCCACGTTCGCCGGCTGCGACGAATTATTCACGTGCTACGCGACTGTCGAGAACCGTAGCGATAATCTCGTTTAAGTTTCAGTTCGGGGAAGACGCGTTGGCGTCGTCTCGCGTCGTCCTCTAACGAGTAACCTCGGTGATGGATTCGCAGTTATATTTCAGGGCCGAATCTCGACTCGCGTTCCGTACAGGCATGGTGTGGAACACGCGTTACACGCGCGAGGACGCCGTTTTCATCGAGCGGAAAAACCTTAGCTAAGAATAAGCCTCGGTTGACCCTTTTTCTTTCTCTCTCGCATAGCAACATATTTTGAATCACAGTAGAAAGCGAAGCTATCGAACACATTGATTTGAGAGAAGGTTCGATGAATGATCTTATTTGAGTATTTCTCCTTGAGAGCACTCTTTCAGGGAATCCCAGTTTCGTAGTTCGCTGGAGTAGGCATATTCTAATAGAATTATCAGACCGCATTACGTGTACGGCTGAAGTGTTTTTTAAGTCGTGACGGAAATCAGCTGATCGGCCGTCAGAACGAGATCACGCATAGAAGCGAACGGGGGAACCCGTTCGCGTGTGATCACAGGTACATCGGTGATGAATTGATAAAAGTCACGGTTGACGTAGACGCGTGGAAATAGACGCACGATCGTATCGGCGAGTCGTGGCGCGTATTCGGCCAATTTATATCTGCACTCGAGCGTGGACGGACCTCGAGCGAGGTAGAGAGGAACGATAAAAAGGTTAGCACCTACCGTAGAAAACGCGTTTTGCCAGATGTTGCAAACTCCCTAAGTTCGAGAGAGTGCATAATTAAATTCTCCAACCTCTCCTCCCGTTTTTACCAGCTCGCGAACCGGACGATAACTTCGCGTTAATCCCTCGCCGGAGTGAAAGGTCAATCCGACTTGCCGATATCAAACTGCAGGCTAATATCGTGTCGGCCAAGTTTTTTTTTTGTTGTTGTATGGAACACGCGTTTCCTGTAGCGAAACGTGCACGCACACCTTCGTACCTGCACGTGTTCACTTTTGTTTCTCGCGGAACGAATTCGCGGTAATTAGATTGAACATTGCTCCAAAGCGGATGATGGAGCAGCAGCTTATTATTCGATTTTCGGTATATACATATACATAGGAGTGGTAGGTCCCTGAAGCGGAGAGAGGAAACGCGAATAATTAAATTTTAATTTTTCGGCATAATCGTACTAATTGGTCGTTTTGGACGAGATCGTGGAACGATCAATCATGCACCCATTGTGCCAGAGATTTTATTCCTTTCCATGCTACAATATGCTTAGAGTGACTCGTCGTTCTACTACGTTCAACGCTTGGATCTCGGCAGAAGCGCAATCAAAATCGAATCAGGACTCTCGCCTGCTCGTATTCCAACGTCGTCACCGGAAATTTATCGACTGAAAGTAACTATTTTTGTGAGAAGACTTACCCGCTTTTTTATTCCAACTGTCTCGATTTAATTAACGGGGCAGCTGAATTATAAGTAGGAAAAGGTGAAGTCGAAATTTACATCGAACGAGTCATTGCCCCGATCATGTTTTATCGGAGTCCGCAACGAAATTCGAACCCTTGTGCGCGAGCTCGAAATCTCGAGCCAATCAGCGGCGCGTGTATTCCTGATAACGCATGGCCAATTTCCATTGGGCAAATTTACACGGCTACATTCTACCACCGACAAATGAACGAAACAGATGGAATCGCAGATAATTGGAGCCGTTACGAAACGCCCCATCCGTCGCGGCGTTTATATTTCCTTTTCGTCAGTTTCCATGCCACGCGTATCGATCACCTCTCCTGAATAGTCACATACTGTCGCAACGTCACCCACGGTTGATAACGATAATTCTAACTACGGAGCATTGATTTTTTTTTTAACATTTATCTACACCATCGCGACGATCTTTTTGATCTTCGCCGCACAATCAGTTCAAACTCCAAACCGAACTGATAACTAATGATATTATCGTTCCACTATGTATGCTTATCTTCGTTTGAGTTGCAATCCGCGTTATTGAATCCGGCATCTGGTTCTTGGAGAACAGTGCTGCGTCACGATTTCATTCTCACGACGAAAGTATTGGTCAATGATCTATAAGATTTGTAATAGAAGAAAGATTACAAGTTGTAGATACGAGAATCAATTATCGCGAAATAAATACCTGTCTTGAAATTGTCATGAAATTGTTTATTAACGTACGAACAATATACATACATTTCAATTGATAAACCAGTTTTCGTATGACCGATACACTTCATAATTCTTTATTACACGTTTAATTTCCATTCGGTCGTTACGCATTCGTTTTCAATTTTTTCCTACAGACATGTGTACACATATTAGTCGAGCTTAACGATCTGGTCGCTTTCACGACGAAACGACCGATATTATGAATGTCCGCCGTATCGGGCCGACAAATTAATTTAAATGACCGTTTTATCGACGAAACGTGGCTCGCGGGGAATGCAGATTTGCGCCGCGCCAGGCGTGATTTCTATTTCACAGTTCATTTCGCCGCGGCAGGTCGAGTTCATTCGCGTTTTCAACGCCGATGTTAATTGTTCCCGAGATATTTCGTGACACGCGGCACGCCGATTATGTCACCGTTTTCGCGCAGTGCCGTTCATTCATACGTCGCCACGTCGCGTTTACGTGTGCGTTGGTCGAATATCGAACAGCTGAAAAATTGCGTTCCGACGTTCTCGACTCGAGCGACTCGAGACAGTTTACGGAAAGAGGAAGTGAGGGAGAAAACGGGAAGTAGATGTGACGCTGCAACACGCCTACTTATGGAATTGACGCGATACTGGTTCCGCTGAGTTTGGCTCGGTTACAGTTGTTCTTCCCGCTCGGTTCATTAAATATACGCGTGCGTCGGTGACTTTAATGCCACGTCCGGAGAAACAGATAAACGTTGTTGATTAGTGGTGAGGAAAATTCAATTATTCGACTGCAATAAAGTAAATACTACTTTTTCCTCAATTAGCCAGACTTAATGAAATACTTCAGTTCGTAGCAGTACCTTGAAAGCAAGATTCGTGGACGGAATCAGGTTTTTACAACTATTCTTCGTATAAGCGCGGTACATTTTTTAGTGGAATAGAATCGAATTAGCATAATTTATCTGTGATTACTCGCGAGGACATGCAAATCCATTGTAGCTCGTTTCGAAATCGCAGCTCGGTCCCGTGCAATGATTCCAATAGAGCGGAGAGGAGAAACGGGTCGCGTCCATTCGAATCCGTTCGATCGGTCGCATGTCTCGCTCATGGGTTGGACGGAAAATGCTGTTGGGTGCATTCCGATCCAGTGATACCGCGAAATGCGTTACTTTACGGCTCATTGATAAACGTAACACACGTAAAGCACTCTTAATCGCGAACCGTTTACGCTCTTATAATTGGCAGATATGTACGTGTGGCTTGCATGCGATACAATAAACTTATGCACGTATTCTCCCAGCAATGGCTAAATGCATTTAATCTATGGAAATTGTCTCAAACTTGGTGATGCTTACTGCATCTTAATGCAGCTTTTTCGATTCAAGGCTACCCTTTCTACAGCGTTAATCTTCTTTTTCCTGCCCGTTTCTCTAAACTGTAAAAAAATTGGCTTAAGGATGTATTGGCTATACAGTCAATCCCAAACGTTTATGCAC